AGATTGAAGACGAATGCATTTGCACATCCTTCAAAGATTAGTGCAGAGAGCTTAATCCTTTCTAAGTAACTACTTTGCTTGATCCGTATCACAGTTTCTTCCACTGTGTGCATGCAGTGCTTCAAGCATTCAATCAGTCTCCTCGTGTTCATCGCTTGATTAAGGATATGTCGCCTTTCTAAAGGTTGTACCACAGTGGTTCAGTAAATATTCTTGTAATCTCGGAGATAGCCAGCCTTGCGCGTTTTTAGAACGCTCCTTATTGATTGGCGGAGAGTTCTGGTGGGTCATCAACCTCACGTGAAGCCGCTCCGAGTACCACTGTCATCCACTTGGCTGGCGGTCCACAATGCCGTTATGGCCAAGAGAAATTCTAAGGAAGACCTTTTACCTTTGCACGCAGAATGCGATTGTTGTGATAAACTGGCTGTCTGAGTCGCGCGGGTAGACACATTCTTCTGCTGCCGGCTTCCCATTACTGGTCAACCTGCCTTGAGCCTAAAAGATACAAAAATCGTTCCAGTTTTTTTCCTATCACGCAGAATTTTATGGAATGTACAATTTATTTCAGAACACAATGTTTGCATGCTGTATTGGTGTGAAAAAAAAACTATCGCTGGGGCAAGCAAAACGATTGCAAAACTTCCAAACAGTGGATGCTTTCACATTGTGTTTTTCTTTTATTGTGATTTTCAACAGCTGTCTCAAGAGTTTTCATGAGATATTCCGAGATAACCTTTCTAAAGGAGAAGAGGAATGAAAAACCGATCTTATTCGCTGGAGAGAAACCTTCCCTAGAAAATTGAGTAAGGATCCGAAAGCTGAGGCTTCAGGCTAAAGTCCCCACTTCGCCGATTTTCGAAAGACTTTTTTTTACGCTGCTACAAAAGGATATTTCTTGGTTTAGGAGCTTCAGACACGCATATTTTTCGCCCTAGAGCTCTTCCTTTGGGCCAGTAGTAATCTTCGATAGCCTAATCGAATTTGCTTCCAACCCTGTGCTTATAACCTGAAAAAACCGTTTCACTGAAACGCGGCAGGTAAGATAAGTTGATCCCATCTGCTATGAAGGGTCACTTTGACCAATTCACGTGCGTGTGGGTGAGACCGCCACGTAAACTTCAGACGCAAACTCTCTACGCTTTCGTATGCCCGAAAAATCGAACAGTCATCACGTCATCGAGCGTTAATGCCTCAACCAGCCATGCACAACGCACGTGAATTGACCAGATTGGCTCTTGATCGCAGATAGGAGTCACCTTACTTCACCTGCTGCGTTTAAGAAAAGCGATCTTTTCAATATGTAAGCACCGCTAGAATCAAAATCGATAGCTTCATCGACTGATTACTAATAATCCAAAAAAAGAGCCGTGTCCTACGAGAATTATGCACGTCTAGGGCATAGTTTTGTGTGTAGTTTACAGCGTTATAAAAGGTACTTTGAAGAACCGGCAGCGTTAAGCTGTAGCCTTAAGTCTTATCTTTCGAATGGGTATTATCACTACTATGAAAATTTCCTCTCCAGCGAATGAAATCGGTTTTTCATTTGCCCCCCTCCTAATCAGAAAGAGCTAAGAAGGGAAGATGGGCTTTGGATAACAATCCGTGATATCATATTAGGAATCGTGAAAACCAAAGATATTATGTTCGGTTGACGAGATCGATCCTCTGAAACAACATTTGCTACGATTGAAGGCGTCCTGATAAAAGATCATTTTTCTTCAGTTCAACACTCGAGCTGACATTGACATCATAGTGTCCATTTACTGTTGAACATTTCTTCAGATTTCTCAGTCTAAACGATTTTTTTCCCTAGCCCGTAATTCCATTTCTCCTTTTTTTGTTAACTACAATCTGAGCAATAAACGAGGGTCTCGAATGAATATTATTGTACTAGACACCTGGTTCGCCTTTCCAGGTTCATTAGTGGTACGGTGTCTTTCGGTTCAGCGATCCCTTGTAAGAGGGTATATCCCTACTCATGAAGGAAACGACGAGGATTTCTTGAATCACCGTATGTCGGCTGACAAAATTCCTCGACATTGTAGTAACCACAGTTGAGCGCTTGTAGCTGATACAATAAATCATTCCCCTACTCTAGACTGATTATACAGACCTCTGTCACCTAAAAAAAAGTTCAAAAACCTTATCAGATTAAAAGATTATCGTTGTTTCTGGACGAGATCTATTCAAGAGTCGACAGTAGAAATATATACAAAGGCGCTAGAAATGATGAAAAATCAGAGTTCATTTTACTTGACCGCACATTGTGGTAGTATAATTTTACAACATACCCATTAACGTAGAGTGGTGTGTAAAAATATTTGAATCAGCTGGGATTCAAACCCAGATTTCACTCTTTCCGGAAACGCGTGCTGAGCCGTTGCACTACCGAGGCTCGTTTTGACACCACTCTTTCTACGCCACAACGCGATATCTGTCAATAGCACCGTCTACGGTTTGGCGTGAGCAGTCACTATCGACATCTAACCCACTTATGCTGACAGATATCGGTTTGATAATCAATCAGAATTCATTTTCTTTTATTTTTATTTGATTTTTTTTGCACACCACTCTATATTAATGGGTTTATTGTAACATCATGCCACCCGCAATAGGCGGTCAAATAAAACGAATTCTGATTGATTATTGAAACCAATTTCTGTCAACAAAAGTGGGTCCATTGCCGATAGTTACTTGCCTACGCCAGACCGTAGACGGTTGGCTGTTGACAGATAACGCGTTGTATTGCAGAAAGAATAGTGTCAAAACGGGCGTCGGTAGTGCAACGGTTCAGCACGCACTCCCGGAAAGAGTGGAATGTGGGTTCAAATCCCAGTTGACGCAAGAGTTTTTTTTGCACACCATTCTACATTATTGATTTCTGAAGAAAAAGTTCCTAGACAGATTTTTTTAATGTATGTCAAAGAAAATGGAACTATCCGAATCAGTTTCTAATGGAAATGGAGGAATTTCTATGTTCTCTTGTAACTGTTATGCCTATAATAAAGAATTTATGGAGATTTCGTGGCGCAAATGACAATGTAGATATAACACAAAGCAGATAAAAGATTTTTATGTTTGACAAAGGAAGTAGTACAGTTCACAGTAGTTCGTAATATGACAGAAGATGAAGGCTAACGACTAAATTTGTATAGATATATAATTTTTACTCCAAATCTTCAGATATATTTTCCACTTCTTTTTCGTTATAGGAGGAAACGCGAAGGAAAGTTTCCTCTAAGGACGATTGTGTTACACAGAAATCAACGACGCCGAGTGATAATGCCAGTGATTGAACTTCACGAAATAACGACGACCATCGATCTGATTTTGATTTCGGAATCTGAAAAAAAATTGCATCTCTTTCCTTCATATTTATAGTGTTTCAGTGAAAGAAAAATAACAAGGAAGATTATTTTGCCTCACCTGCCACTTCAAGTTCGGAGACAGGCTTTCTTTTGGTGTTTTCATAATAGCATTTGGGAATGTTCTTTTCACTCCTTCGATGATGTTATCCCGAAGCTCTACATTTGGTGCCACCATCGTCATTGTATAACTGATTTCGAATCTTGAAAAAAGAATAATCATCGTGTGGAACTAAGCAGAACGATAATCGGCTCGTGAGCGCCGGTAAATTTTTGAACTGCTCACTAACAATACTACTTGTTTGTAGGAAATATTCGCAGACACGTAACCGTCAAAGAACGGATTTTCTTATGCATCTTATTAAGCAATTGCTATGACTTAGGAGAAGTTTCTGTAATTACCAACTAGTCTTCAACAATAAGGACGAAGCATAAATTTGCTACGTCGATAATTAGCAGATATAAGCATCATAAGAATAAGTCTGAACCCAATTTCCCGACTTCCGTATGAAAGAGCGTTTGGTTAACTCGAGGAACAACAATGTGGTCTTCGCAATGTCGTGCTGACCACTGCACTACACGAGCTCTAATTTAGTGATAAGCATATTTGAGCGGAAAGGGAAGGAATTCGTTCGAGATATGAGATAAAAGTGATCGCCGTTACAAGAGAAATAATGAGAATAAGCGAGTGCACTCATAAAATGGGGTATAAATAGGCGATAAATGGAAGTAGATAAATAGAAATGTTGACAAACTTTGTTTTGAGATGTTGACTTGTTCCGATAGCTACCATTCGACCCCTTTGCAATATGGCGATTCGACTGCATAGCGCCTCACATTCGTTCATATTGTGAGAAGTAAGCAGCAGGGCGGAATGTGAGTGGTCACGTATCATCGACAGCAGTTCCCATATGTCATGGCGAGCCTTGAATGGAAGAGAGATTATCGCGTAGTGTAACCAAACCTTTCAAACGGGTACATCCATTAGACATATATTTCAACACACATCAGCTTTCAGCTAAGATTTAGGCTTCTGTAAAGCTAAGAATCTGATCAATCGATACTCGACAATTTCCCCACCTTTGGATCAATACCAGCCGTTGGTTCATCAAGAATGATAATCCGAGTTGGTGAAAGCAAAGCAGCAGCTATGCTAATTTTTCGACGTTGTCCACCGCTGAAATATTAACAACCAAAATTTATAAAGATAAAAGTCATTACTCTGGCTCATTTAGCACCAATTAGTCACAACTGAAATCACTACTGGTTTAATAGTCAATAATCACTTTCGATAAAGCAAAGTGATCTGTTAAATTTGCAAAGTGGTAATGCACTTGAAAAGGCCTGAGAAGCTCGAAAATTGACTTGGAAGAATATAGCGTATCCATAAGCAATTTAGTGCTAGTGTGCTGCGAAATAGTGTTCGTCCTCCAAGCATTTCAATTTATTAACAGGATACAATATTGGAAGAAGTTTAGAGTATTGATTGCTCGAGAAAAGTATTACATATCACATGGTTATCAGCTTAACTGAGTTTATAAAGCAAAATCGCAAACCCGACCAAGACCTGTTAAAGGTTGGTGGCTGAAAGCTAACATAGAGATGCTGAAGAATGAGTATTGGCGCAAATGTGCCTCAGTGGTGCAATGGTAAAGCACGCGATCCCCGGATAGGATGAAACGCGGGTTCGATTCTCGCCTGCGGTCGCGTTTATGCGCACCACTCAATTCTCTTAGGTGTATTAGAAACATCGTACCACTGCGAAAAATGCAGTCAAAATCATTAGAAATTATAAGTATTTTACGAAAAAAGTAACGAATTTTCCAGTGCCAAGCATTAGGGAGGTAAAGAGTTGCAATGTAAAGTAAGAGCAAGGAGCAAGAAGCCAAAATTGTAATTCCAACTCTACCACTGACCTGTTGTATCGCAATAATTTATTTGCATGGTCGGCCATTCCAACGCTTTGAAGAGCTAACTCAGTCAGTTCTGCTGCATTAGGGAATCCATGCATACGTGCAAGTATCTCAAAGAATATTGTCCTTCTTTATTCAAATTAATTCCTCTGTAGGTGTAATCAAACTAAATGATACTGAAGTAGAATCACCACAGAATACCTTTAGACTTTCTCTTCCACTAAAATCAAGCATCATTGCATCAAACTGAGGACAATAACCGATCGGCTGAAGATAACAAAAGTATTTTTTGAGGACCTGTTAAAGATGTAAACCTACTAATTCCAGGCAGTGTACACTTAATGGTAATAACAAAAACTATCAAGTCTTGAATGTCAAGGAGGAGACCTAAAATACGAATTTTGAAATCAAAACAATAGGCATGGGGAATTAATTGAAAGATATCAAAAAGACTGAAGCTTCAAATTAATCAAAATCGGCTGAGTTCTTCATCATGAAACAGTTTTCCGAATGCGGAATAGTCTTACAGAAGCTGGTTACTTTCCATCGTGAGGTAATAAACCTGCTAGTTGTGCTTTCCGTGTGTGCAAGGATTTTGAAAAACAATATGATTCGTGCTCTTCAACCCATTGACTTATATTTCAATCGAAAAAGTTCGTTTTGCACCAGGAGTTATTTATAAGTTTCGAAGCGCTATTGTCCTTGCAGAAGTGCTCCGAGTAATGCACGCTATGCGCTAAGCATGTATTGAAGCCTAAATTTGAGCGTGTCGCTTGAAGACTCACTATGCATTTTGTGACACTCCGATTGTCGATATAAGCTGTGCCAGAAGTGGCGAACGATTGTCCGGTGAGAATGTTGAACGTAGTCGTCTTGCCCGATCCGTTCTTTCCAAGCAGACCAAGACATTCACCACTTCGCACTCCCATTGTGAGGTTATCCAAAGCTCTCAAACGGCCATACCTCTTGCACAAATTCTGCAATTGAGTGTTTCCAAACTTGGAGATCCTATCTCAGTAGATTCAGAAAACTTTCGAGACAGTGGAAGCCGCTTACCTTGACTTTCAATACCATATCATCGCCGCATTCTTCTACGTGCGCTCTTTCTTTCGACACATCGCTATCTTCTTCATCTCTACCAACCTAAAACGATGAGTTTAAGGAAGGCTATTACAATCTGATGTCTTTTAGGCCTATTTTTGAATAACCAAACTAGTCCACCTTGGAATTAGTTTCCCAGCTTATACATTAACAAGGCATGTGTGGTACACTGGTTGATGGTGTCTTGCAAGACACGTTGTCCCTTGTTTGGTCCGCCTAAGGCCAACAACAAAAGTTTTTCGGGTTCGACAAAGTAGTACTAAAGTCGTTTTATAGGACACAGCAACACCACTAATCCGTCACAAGTCACCGTGACCATTCCATCACCTCTGCGATGCTTGACGAAGTCGAATACACAAGTAGCATTCTTTACAAAGAAAGAACGTTTCTATGTTCTTGCACACTTGCATTGCTCTTCTATTGACTTCTACAGCTGAAACTTTGTGTAAAACTTTTCCATGTCAATCTGGCAAATTCTTGTGAAAGTTTGTGGTACATCATTCATCCATTATGCGGACGTCTGTGTGAAAGTCCCAATCGAAACGATCTTGTGCTATCAATCAAGACGTAAGATACAAGCCGCATATCAGTCGCTCACGTGGGCATAAATGACTCAATGTGCTTGTTGAAAGTGTTCTACTCAGATCTTACAAAATTTTTGAGACACATCTAGACAAGCTATGAGATTGTAGTAGGAGTACATAGTGAGGATTAATATCAATGCCCTAGTGATCAAACAGTCAAAGGTTCTCAAGGATTCTCGTCCATGGCACGCCTTATGCGCAAGTGGTCAAAAGACTGAATTGAGACTACTGAAAGTAGTTTTCCGTGCCATAATCTTTGCTGATAATAAAAAGCATTTAGAAGAAACCAAAATGATGAATGTGACAGAAGAGACGTCAAACAAAGGCAGCTTCGAGTCTTCTGCTTCGACTGCGCTATTACAATACAGCTATTATATTACCACTTTTCCGCCTATGTAACGCTGAAGATACAAAGCTTTCAATGAATATTTGAACCAATGTGTGACTGATCATTTTTTTCTGCATGTAAATGTTATAATATAGAGCAGTTTTTAGAATAGCAACTATTTAATCGAGTTAGTCTCCGCTTAACAATGAACCAACTATGCAGAGTTTCTGCGGATTGCCAGTGAACCTTTCAGATCAAAAAATCAGTTTCATATGTTGTATTACAACAGGCGTGAAAACACTGATAAAAGCAGGGGTGCCGTGTCGAGTGGTTGTGATGTTCGTCGCGGCGCGTTGGAGCCGAACTACACCCTCTAACTCTATCTGTAGTCAACAACATCGCTTTAAGGAACGCCACAGCAAGGCTAACCTCGAAATCGCAATGAGATTCGCTCGACCAGTATTCTACGACGTCCAAGTACAAAACAAAAAAATGAACTGAATGATAGAAGTACTGATATCCGCACAGTGTAATACACTGTGAAGATGGATCAAATAAAGTGCTAAAATTGCTAAGATTGTCTCCGTTATAAGCAGGTGAAATTGTTACGAAGCTGCAACTGGCACTATATATTTCCTCTTCAAGTTTTTACACCGTTGTGTGTAGTTTCTACCAATGACTGTGTTCATTATGGCTTTCAAATAGGGTTGCACATGACGACGTTCCATCTTCGATTATCACGAATTACACATTTTCATAAGAACAACTGCACAATTGCAATCTATCAGACACACCGTTTCGAAATTCCTTTGTCCAAATCGTGACTCCCAGAATAGGTGCCACTGGTACCTTATAACTTTAAACTGGAACAAAAAGAAAAGGAATGTTGAAAAGCAGCCAAAAACTTGCATAAATGCCACTTTTTTGCCTGGAATGCTCATTTATAATGATGGAAAAACGATAAAAAGAACATTGCAACACTCACCAAGATGGTGCCAGTCCCAAAGTTCATCGCTTAAATCTTCTGGATCTGACGTAAGCATATTAACGCCTGCACCAAATGCGCAAGATGGTAAAAGAAGTTCCGGTACTGACTGGGAAAAATTCATGATTAGAACATTTATTTAACACTGATACATTAAAGCAAATTTCTTAAGATCTTGTATGACGTTGCATAAGCACTTTTTGGTGAGATCACTTCCTATTATCTTCATTTTTACATACTCTAAAGACTAAAATGACATTTTGGCAATAGGAAGAATAGAGCGCTTAACCTCCAACTGCTCAGACATGTCCGGACCAAGTTTGAGACTTTCTTTGAGCATGACTACCATGAACAATGCAGCAAGAGGAGCAACCACTTGAAATAAGAATAGAAGTGTGATCGCTTTAGACGGCGATGATAATAGGAAAGACGCAGCATACACGAACGGTACACATGACCAGAAGTACAAAACGAACATCAATGACAGACTGAAAATTAGAGTATAATGTGTTTCCGAAGTGAGAACAATGATGATACGAATACGATTTCTACGGAATGTAAAATGGAAAGATAAAGTTGGATAACTCGTTTGTATGGTAAACTCATAGCTCGTATTGGTTTGTCTAGCTAGCAGAGCAAGATGTTTAAAAAGAAGGAAAAACTGGTTATCTAAGAATCTTGAATGCTGCGTAATGACTCGGTTTCAGGCGGGAGCTTAACCCGCGTTTCACTCACACCGCCGGCACGTAAAACCACTATACGGCCGAGGCCACCGCTTTGCAACTACTCCTTGACATATAAATTATTATAAATGTTAAAAACCAATCTGCAACGGGATTGCCCAGGTATGCGCAAATTGACATTAAACCTAGATAACCCCTTCTGGACTAAGTGCACCAAAAATGGTAAAATGGCACTATCGTGATTTTCTCATCGGACACAGATTACTACTGAACTTTTAATAGTTTCCAATAGCTAAAAAATGAAGTTGTAAAAGTGAGCTGCATTTCTGAAAAGGCTTTCCTGGTGCGCTGTAGGAAGGAGGAAAATATTATGTTTGCTTCCAAAGTATATAATGTATTTTGCACTCGTGTTTGCTTGAGTTTTTCATCAGAGAGAATCTGTCCACTAGAGTTCTACTAACCCTTTGATAGTTTGTAAAATAACACTTCTATTACTAAACTAAATTCGAAAAAATCCCTTTAATTCGTTTTTGCAACGGTAAGGAAAAATTAAGTATCTCTCCAGGTCGTATTTCTGCTCGGCTGGGATTTGTGGATTTAGCAGCAAATATGCTGTGAAATTTTTGGATTGTTGAATAGCACAATTCTTGACAACTGTGCAGATGAGTTTCAGTCCCGAAGAGTTTTTCATTAAGTTCTGTGAGAGCATAAAGAGGTTACGTTTGCATCCAAAGTAGTTATCCCATTGCTTGAACTTTTGGCTGATTTATTGTAATTATATTTATTTATTTATTTATTTATTTATTTATTTATTTATTCACATGACCCGTCATCATAATTTCTATTGCACGGATTCCAGTACTTGTAGCATTCGAATCGTTTTCTTGTTCTTTGTAAATGATGTAGAATATTGGTCGAGCATTCAAGGATAGCTTGGCTGTGGAGTTCCATGAGGCGTTTTTGTTGACTGGCGGAGAGTGTTTGGGGGGGGGGGGGGGGGGGAGGGGGTGGAGCTCGGCTCCACACGTGCGGTGACGAACATCACAACGACTCAGCCACGGCACTCCCTTTATTTGGTAATACAAGATGAAAATAAAAGGTTAATGGCTAAG